CCCGCAAAGCCTGTCAGGGTCACATCTGTGGGCTCCAGGGTAGCCCCTCGGAACACCTCATCAAAGACATGCTTGGTCATGACAGTTTGGGCAGCCCCTGTGTCCACCTGCAAGCTGATAGGTTTGTCATTCAGCCACATCTTAACTTCATAGGGATTTGCACCCACATCATCCATGCTGTACAGTTCGTACATCCCATTGTTCGGTTTGGATGGTCCTTTTGGTTGCTTTTTTGGGGTAGCAGACTCGGATGCTCCCTGTTTGGTTCTGCACTTTTTTGCCACATGCCCCTTTAGGTTGCACTTGTAGCACACTGCATTTCGGAATTTACATTGTGCTGCCTGGTGTGTGGTACCACCACAGCGATAGCAAGGGCCTGCACTTTGGTTCTCCCTCTTACTCGAATGGGCTTGTCCCCCAGTTCTTACCATGTGCACTTCTGGTCCTGGGCCATGCAGATCTCTGGCTTGCTGGGCAGCTGACTCCATCCCCAGGGCGATCTCTCCTGCTCTTGAGAATGACAGCTCATTGGGTTCTGCCAGCAACTTCTTTTGGATGGATGGATCCTTTAGCCCACAGACCAGCCTATCTCGTAGTGCCTGATCCAAGAAGTTGCCAAAATCACAGCTGCTTGACAGCTTTCGCAGTGCCAGCATGAAAGCCGCAATGTCCTCTCCCTCACCCTGAGCTCTACTATGGAATCTGAATCTCTCCGCAATTACCAGTGGTTGCGGGCTCAGGTGCTTCTGCAGCACTGTTATCAACTCATCTAGTGTTTTCTCACTTGGTTTGGAGGGTGACACCAGATCTCTTACAATTCCATAAGTTTTCGGACCGATCACAGCCAGAAAAGCCTCTTTTTGCAAGTTTTCTTCCACTTTAGCCACTCTGAACGATAGCCGCAGGCGCTCCACATATGTCTCAAAACTTTCTTGGGCCTCATTGAAGTGCCCCACTGCAGTTAAAAGAGCTCCTAGGTCTCCTGACATCTTTTCCAAATTTGATGTCTACTGCAAATTCACAATTTATCTCATTCTTCGTCGCCAGTGTAGTGGTTTGCGCCCTCCTGGCTAGACCCGTGGTTTCCACGCGAGTTGTTTATTATTCCCCCCTCCAAAGGACCACTACAATCTCGGCGCACTTGGCGACCTAAAATGCTGCAATATGCTGCAATACAGTACATTATGTAATTAAAGCATTTTATTTCATTTTCTTTAAATTTATCCTGTTTATCTGCTAGAGCAGTCAGACACTGATAATTTTATCATAATGGCTAGAGTCAAGAGAAGAAAAAACTGAGAGACACTTGCAATCTTAACAAATGTCATAAGAAACGGTTTGGAAGAGGTCTACCCAAGGTCTACCGGCACAGGCCTATGTTCTTGTTGCTGGAAGGCTTCTGGTGTGCGCTGAAATTCATCTGCCAACTGAACCAGACATAGCCCGACTTATGGCCAACATTTAAAGTAAAAAAGATTGACGAAGTTAAGTTCTAAGTTGCTACTGCAATTAAACACGTTGGAGGCTGGAGCCGTCAAGAAAACTGAATGGAAGCTCAGCAAGACTGCAACAGTCGAAATGCCTACCAAGTGTGAAATGACTGGCTTAATTATTTCTTGCGTGGCTCAACATAAGTGCTCAAGAGCAGAAGGCCCCTCATTTACTTGTGTGTGCGCTGCTTTGTGGAACGTTGTTAAAATCGAAAACCAGAATTCATGAACTTTTGGTGATCAACAGTGACCTTTAGCGATGACCTGATTGAAAAATTGTCTAGATGATTCTCAAAGTTCTTATAGCGAGCTACCTACTGCCCTTTCCGCATCTTTCTATCTTTCTTCCTTTGCGAGATAATATGGTGTGGACAAATACGTCCCCCCTCTTCCCATCACTATGGCGAAGTTGGCTGAAAGGCTCACCCGGGCGCGGGTTAAAGAGGCTCATGGGTGAATAAAATGATGCATCATTATGTGCACTCAGATTGGTATGAGTATATCGCCACTCATCCTACAATCTCTACTACCATTAGCATTATTTTTATGTCTTCATATGCTTTGACGATGCTTTGATGATGTCATGAATGTTACTGCTGAGCTTCATCTTAAATACACAATACATAATGTTAAATCAACTAACAACCTGTATTAATCGAATTCGCAATCATGAAGAGAAACGCGCATGAGACCTGCAAAACTACGTGATAGTGAAGCTCCTTTAACGGATCTAGAAATGATGATTCTGAGCGCAATGGCAAAGCCGCTCATTCGAGATGTGAAAGTGGCCCCACTCGTTTGCACGTACAAACTGGACATAAATGGACTTGAGCACGGCACCCTCCTAAACGGTCGCTACCGGTGTACCAAATTTGAGCGCAATCTCCCCAGCCGTTCTCGAGATGTGGAAGCGACCCCTCGCGCGTGCGCACGTGCAAGCTGGACCCAAACTGACTTGTGCACGGCACCCTGTCAAACGGTCCCTAACGGCGTACCAAATTTGAGCACAATCTGCCCAGCCACTCTCGAGATGTGGAAGCGACCCCTGCACGTGCGCACGTGCAAGCTGGACCCAAACTGACTTGTGCACGGCACCCTGTCAAACGGTCCCTAACGGCGTACCAAATTTGAGCGCAATCGGCGTAGCCGTTCTCGAGATCTGGAAGCGTACCCTGCACGTGCGCACGTGCAGCAGCACCCAAACCGTGACACGTGGAAATGCATCATCATTTGCATGTCCAACGACATGCCAAGTTTCAGCTCAATCAACCCAGTCGTTGTAAAGTAGTTATTGTTGATCGAACAAATTTGTCACCACTTAGTTGGCACGTGGCGCGTGCCGTGTCCCTCACCCTATGACTTTGTACTATGTTCAAGTGATTAAGCTTGGACGCTTCTACATTGTAGATGCAGTCTCGTTCCGTTCCGTCGTGTTATTTACGCGAAAGAAGTTGATAAACTTTTGCGTTTGTCCCATAGACAAAGCATTGTGTCATTAGTTCGTGCCCTTACACGTACGGTGGCGCTAGTGTCGCTCAGCGGGAACGGCCTTCAGGTGCTGATTAAGCCAGTGTAGTCTGTCTATACTTATTATAGGTCAATGTGCTGTTATCAGCCGAAATAGGCTCCGCCCACCGCTTCTGGCTGACGGAACTGTATACATTTGGCCGATGAGAAATGTCAGCACTGGCTGGCTCTGCAAATGTGGCGTTGTAAACAAATATTTCGTCACATTTTCATGTTCTTGGTCAGAGTCACATGGTTCTGAGGTCACATTCTTCATGACCTCAGATGACCTTTCTAGAGGCTATCAGCAAAAATGACACCTTGGTCATCACGGGTGGTTCAAATCATTGTGATTCGGAAATATTTGGACTGTTCCTATGCGTACACACGGATCTAGAGGCATTTTCATTTTTCTCCATTGACTTATAATGGTAAGGTCACGCCACTGACCTGACCTTAGGTCACGGATATAAAAAATCCGAGATATACAAATTGTAGGCGCCCATAACATCATGCAATCCACCAAGTTTAAAACTTTTCTGACAAACACTGCAGGCTGGACATGATTGCAAACTTTTTTTTAGGCCTGGTCAGTTAACTTGACCTGGTGACCTGACCTGACATGACCTGGGGTCAAAAATTTCACACATTGTCCAAATTTGATGTACAAAAAGCTATGTTAAGCGGCGCGGCGCTACGCGCCGAGGTTTTTTATTTATACGCAAAAAACCCGACAGGGTGGTAACATATGCCCCCCCCCCCACTGGGGCGAAGGTTAATTGCCGGACGTCTTAAACCGATCATTTAGTCGGTGTAGCTATGACGGGCATAACTTTTTCTATGGCAAGGCCACTTGGACGTCACCTGGTGATCTGACCCTGAGTGGCCTGGGTTTGAGTGTTGTGCAGCCTTTGTGGGTAAAGATGTATAAAAAAAGGTGTGCCAAAAACGGCGGCACTCCGCAACGCCGTTTTTGAGATATTTACACAAGTCCACATGGGATGTCCGAACATCCCCACCTCCCGGCGCGGATATTTTTTTTGCACGCGTGCGGAAAGCACCTTTGGGGTCTACCAGGAGATGGATATACTCAATGACGTTGCTACAATGTATTCTGTGTGGCCTGTGTAAATTTGGCACCTTGAGCTTGCCAGCGCTACCCGTTCTACCCGCATACGTGACACGAAGGCCGCGTGACACGAAGTGCAGCATTCAAAGGTTTGCACGCGCACAGCGGCACAGTACGCCCACTGTGCACCCCAGCACACCTATTCGCACAGCGCCTTAAAACGCTCCCCCAGTAGTGTCAGTGTACCGAATTCGGTGTGCCTATGTCTAGGATTTCCGGAATCGGAGTGCCTCCTCAAAACATGTTTTTCTCCCCGAGCACAGGCATTTCGCACCCCCCCCCCCTCCCCCCCGGTACCTAGCATACCATATGTTAGTGGTCGGACATCAAGACATGTGAGCTGCAGATATGGCGCTTGTGCCGCCCTCCGTTCGCTTTGGAGCGTTGCTAAAAGATTTTTGTCCTCCGTGAGTTTGTCGGCACGTGGCACGCACCACATGACACCGGGTGACCTCGGACATGCATCATCACCTGCCTCAAGGCATTACGTGTCGAACGGTACTACCAGCATCTCGATCCGATCATCCGTTGAGACGCAATTCCAATTATCTTGGCTCGATGACCTTTCACAACAGGGTTTTTTGGCAACGCAAGATGGCGCCTTGTCGGCTTCACCTGAATGGAGATGGTTGTGGGTCCAGTTTAATTATACGTCCGTGCCAGACGCTGAAGCTGCCAAAACTCGCGTGAGAGCTTCGATAATGAACTTGGAGCCAGAGTCATTCTGAAAAAAAACGAACTATAAATGCTGTCTTTATTATTACGTTTATACCAATTTCTTGACTGGCTTTTTTTTCTTCCTAGAAATTGGGTGAAGCTGTATTTCTCTATTTACTAAGATTCGTTTCTTTTTTACATTCCTTCGCTTTTTTCAGGCTTCAGGTCTTTCTCCACATTGCACAAGTAAGTTTTATGACACGCACAATGGAAGTTGTATGAATTTTAGCTGATAATATTAATCGTTGACATTCTGTTTTGAAGGAAACAGTCCAAAGAACTTATATTTTTATCGACTTGTTATCGGTGACAGTACCTACTTCGATACCTAACTTTGATTGAAAAATGTGTTATTGCATTAACATTAAACAACTTTTCAAAAAACTGTAATCAATGTCTTTGAAAACTGCATCTTTTGTTTGAAAATACGAGTAGGTTGCGGTAACGCCTGATAGTTAAATATGTAACATCTCAGCTAAAGCGGGGAGCTCACCTGAATTCCTGAGAATGTTGGATTAGCAATAGAAGATACCTTACCTTGCATTCCGTCCCTCTAACTGACTTCACCCGTGCCTGTTTCACGTTTGTCCTCAGGTGACCTTCGGATACTTCCTCATGCTGGCCACCATGACGTACAGCTCGTGGATCATGATAGCTATCTGCGCTGGAGCCGGAGTCGGCTACGCCATCTTCGCTCCCATGGTCTCCAAGCGAGCTCTGCTGGGTGCTTCAGACCACTGTCAATAGACACATGAGTGGGATCTACATAGCAATCGATAGATCTATGTAGTCGTAGGGTCTGCGGATTGTCAATAGACGAGAACGTCAGACTCCACAGGAGTCTGACGTCGGTTTTGGGGTCTACTAAGCACTGCCACTAAGCTGTAATGAAGGCACAGTAGTGAACCGAGACATACCTATCACTTACCTACTGCGATACAATGTTGTGATATACTGATTGTACTTACTATAGCTGAGTTAGCTATAGCTGATAGCTGAGTTTGCCTAACGGGTCATTTATGGTTCTCTAACGGGTCAACAGCAAATGCTTAGTGATGGATGAAATGATTGTGAAATGTCGCTCGACAAGATGAAGTTGAATATACCGCAGCCCGAGCCCACCGCTACACCGTCTTGTCTTTGATTAGACTTACCCGCGCCCCACTGGGGGGGGGGGGGGGCTATTCATAGCCCCCTCTCGTTTTTCTGCAATAACTTCTAAACCGCTTGACGTACCCGACGCCAAACTTTCAGTACCTTTGGCTGCATCAATTTGACACCTTATTTCAAAATATGAACTTCGTAGCTACCATAGTAGTGATGTCAATTACAGAAAATCGGAATACCGATACCAAGCCAAATACCAACCAAAACCGTCAGGAAATACCGAAACCGAACCAACTTGAGAAGATGAGGAAAATACCAACTTTTCACCGATTTTTAACCTTGTATACATTAGCAAGGGTTCATAATACCAACAAAATACCAAAAACAATCGGATTGAAATACATAACACCAACTTGGTATCGGTTTGGTATCGGTATACCAAAAAGTTGGTATCCGATTGACATCACTATACCATAGGTCGGCCGGAAATGACGTCAGAGTGACGTCATGTTCGGCCGATTTCGACACAAAACATTGAACCACGGCAATCGCTCTCAAAAGCTCAGTTTTTTAAGCTAGATCCAATTTCATTGCATGTGAGGACTCAGAATAGACTGCGCTATAAAACTGCTATCTCGGATTTTTTTTTAACATTATGGAAATTATAGATATATATTACCATTCAAAGTTTTTATTTGTTATCTTTTTTCAAAAAGCTTTGACTTTTGGAGGAAAAACGAAAATTATGTGATAGAACACAAACTAACGACTCATTCTAGCAAGTTGTAGCCAGATATCTTCAAAAATAGCCAAGTTATGCGCATTATAGCAAAAATTTCACAATTATCATTTTTTTCAAATCAATTTTTCAGTACGTATTTGATATCGTACACCAATATAAACTGCAACATCGTGTTCCTGAGCTCAAAGTGCATCCGATAGACGCATTTTTGTTGAAAATTTCAACTTTAAAATTTGACGTTCTTCAGACCTGAAAGTGGCTTGAACTTAGCTAAATTCACTCGAAATGACCTCCAATGACATAAACGACATCGGATGCGAAATATTTGGCCTAAATGGACCATGAAACATGTGTCACATGACCGATGCATGATTTAAGATTTCCGTGACCTGTGATGACCTGACCCTGACCTGAAAATCAAAGTACAAGTTTGGTACCCTCAGGGTATCTAAAGCATCTGTCCTTCAGTGTGTAAACAAAAAATTAGCCTGTTCTGACTTGTAAGACGGCGGTCAGAGCCCAAAATGTGAACAAGCCAAAATGCTAATAATTTTTACTTTGATCTGACCTGTGACGTCATCGGTGACCTCGAGGTCAATGAAATTGGATTTTGCTCGACAGTTTTTCTGGGGCTATCAGACGCCGGTTGAGTTTTGACGATCGGCCCAGTAGTTTCGGAGTTAGGACGGGGGGCTATGAATAGCCCACCCCCTCCTGCAGTAGGGCGTGTTATACGCAGACCCCAATGGGGCGCGGGTTAAGTCATAAGTGTCCATTTATTCTTAATTCATCCACTGTGCAGCGGAATCTTTGAAAACCATTGAACTGCTGATAAAAAAAAAAATCATATATAATTAGGTACTGATCAAACCACATTGAAGTATGTATCTAGCTAGACATCAAGTTTCAAAACAACAGCACCTATTATGATTTCAGAGAAGAGTACGAAATACAACAGTAGCTTTCATTACACGAGACACTCGATACTCGGCAGAACACGCTTCAAAAAGCCAGACCGTCATTTAAGGCCAAGAAGCATGCTTGATTTAAATTATGGTGGATTTTACGATTATTCAGCCGCTATCTTATCCGTTTGAGGCCAGTGACAAAGGACGCAGAGAGCCCCTAGGATCACCTGAGATTATGGTTTCACTGTACACAGGTTTCTTTGACGTCTTTTGGTGGATCGATTTGGCATTTCTTCCTTTGGTAAATTACTAGATCTTCTATGATCAGTGATCTAACTAATAGGTATGTGTACCAACAAAATTATACTTTACTGAACGGCTCTGGAAAAGGAAAATGGAAACCGAGGTCTTTAAAAATTGTAGGCACGAGGCGTAGCCGAGTGCTGGATTTTTTTTTATGCCAAGGTCAAGAAAAATATATTCCTGCCCGGGGCCGGGATGATTCAATAAATGTCGCTGAGTTTTTTTTTTAGCGAAAACTCCGAGGGCCGTCAGGCCCAAGATGTTTTTTGCTAAAAAAGCGAGATGACATTTATTGAATTCCCGGCCTTAGGGCTGGAAGGTGATTCCATGACAAAATATCGAAACGCAAAATATCGAATCGCAAAATATCGAACGCAAATTATCGAAACCGCAAAATATCGAAATCGCAAAACATCGAGTCGCATAATATCGAAATCGCAAAATATCGAAATAGCAAAATATGGAATAGCAAAATATCGAAGTAGCAAATTATCGACTCGCATAATATCGAAGTTGCAAAATATCGAAATGGCAAAATGTCGAAAGACAAAATATCGAAAAGACAAAATATCGAAAAGACAAAATATCGAACGCCAAATATCGAAAAGACAAAATATCGAAAGCAAAATATCGAAAAGACAAAATATCCAGTGCAAAATATCGAAAAGACAAAATATCGAAAAGACAAAATATCGAATGCAAAATATCGAAAAGACAAAGTATCGAAAAGACAAAATATCGCAAGCAGAATATCGATAAGGCAGAATATCGAAAAAGCGAAATATCAAAAAGACGAAGGCATAGGCGGCACCAGGGTGGATAATTGACGAGGCACTTAAACTTGATTCCATGACAACTGAACCAGTGACAACTGAACCAGTCACAGCTGAACCGATGATAATTTAACCAGTGCACAGCTGAACTAGTGGACAGCTGAACCAGTGGACAACTGAACCATTAGTTGATTCAACCCGTCCCCTTATTGGCGTTTCAATAGAAGGAAACAGTTACATTTGATCTAAAATAATAATCAAACCAAATCAAACATAATCAAACCTAACCCAACAAAACCCAACCTAACCCAACCTAACCCAACCTAACCTAACCCATCCCAACCCAACTAAGCCTAACCTAACCTAACCTAACCCAACCCAACCCAACCTAACCTAACCCATCGTTACCTAACCTAACCTAACCTAATCTAACCTAACCCAACCCAACCCAACCCAACCCAACCCAACCAAGCCCAACACAGCCTGTGATGTTTTTTTTTTACATTTCAAAGCAAGAAGTGTCGGAAATGTCAATGCATCAGCGATTCTTTTCAATATTCTGCTTTCGATATTTTATCTTTTCGATATTCTCCTAACCGATAATTTGTCTTTTCGATATTCTGCATTCGATATTTTGTCTTCTCGATATCCTGCTTTCGATAATTTGTCTTTTCGATATTCTGCTTTCCATATGTTGTCTTTTCGATATTCTGCATTCGATATTTTGCCTATTCGATATTTTGCCTTTCGATATTTTGTCTTTCGATATTCTGTCTTTTCGATATTTTGTCTTTCGATATTTCATTTTTCGATATTTTGCAACTTCGATATTATGCTATTCGATATTTTGCGATTTCGATATTTTGCGATTCGATATTTTGCCATTTCGATATTCTGCTTTTCGATATTTCGCAGCGTCGATATTTTTCCATTTCGATATTTTGCTTTCGATATTTTGTCACTTCGATATTTTACCTTTGATATTTTGCGATTCGATAAATTGCATTTCGATATTTTGTCCGGAACCCGTTTCCCATATCTGTCCAAACAGTCACAGGTATAAGATAGTGACGTCAGCAGCCGTGCGGTTCATCGTGTTTACCCACACCCCTTGAACCACACGGCTTGTAATATTAAAGCATTGCATTAAAGCTTTGAAAAGTGTGGTACAGTGCACGTGCCGTTTAACCCTCGCCCTGGCAGGGGGGGCACCCAGCTAACAATTTGCCGTTGTTACAACGTCGTTTAAACGTTGTCAAATGGTTACCACAACGTTCCGATTTATCGTTGTGACAACGTAATTTTGTAGACTCCAAACAACGGCGTGACAACGTCATCCGACCATGCATTTGAATGTCGTCACGTTTCTGTAACGTGACCGTGACGTCCCAAAACCGTTCTCACAACGTCCCGCGGCAACGTTATGAAATGTTTTCTGTAACGCGCCAACAGTGTTTCTGGAACGTTGTCACCACGTTTCCACAAAGTGACTACAACGAGTATAGAACGCTTTGGCAACGTCTCTGCGACGTTTCTGAACGTTTTTATCACGTGCGCACCACGTTGTCGCTACTTCGTATTGCCGTCCCTGCGACCCTGAGTAAACGTCCTAAACATTTTCGCAACGTCCTCTCAACGTGTTCGCAACATACTCAGAATGTGTTTCCGATGCTCTCTTCCCGTTCTCTAGACTTGTAAAAAAGGCATGTAAGAAGTGTATATTTCAATACATCACACAGGTCAATTTACAAAAAAAAAAAAAAACGACAGCGGCAGTATCGGTGATGGGCATGGGGCCCAGGCAGGGGCGCCCCATGGGGGCGTGGGACGGAATTGGGTTCTACCGGCTCTAGCGCTAGCCGCTAGCACGCCAGAACTGGTGGAAGTTCACTTCTTCACTAACCCTCTCTGGGAGGATCACTCGGCGGACCGTTAGGCACCGGCTCATTTGCGGCCTCGATGTCCCTAGGCAGCTGGCAGTGCCTGACTAGACGGTCTGCGCGCCCCCCGTTCCGGTCGCAGCTTCCAAACAGCCACTTCGCTACCGCCTTGCCGACAGTAGGCCTGGCGCCTGCCACAAGGCGCGCTGACGAGTTGCAGGACGTCTGCGGGAAGACATGAGGGAAAATCAGACATATTCAATTCATGAAAAAAAATCACAAAAATACCTGCACCGGTCTTCCCGTAACAGTGCGACAGGCTAGATCAAACATGTCAACACCTTAGAGGCTAGAGCTACAATGAACTATAGCCCAGACCGCACGATATTACAAGGCACAATCTTGCAAATGCTA